GATTCTCGCTTAGCGCGCCCAACTGCAGGCAATCTGTGACGTCATTCCCAGGAACAGGGAGAATCTTGTTGAATAGCATGATACACACAGTGCATGGAATTGTCCCAGTTTCAAGCTATTAAAGTTTGTAACAAAGGATGCCGCGGCGTTGTGTAGCAATTCATTGTTCCCATTCATGTCACCAGCTATTTGAAGGGCCAAAAGACCGCAACAGAGCAAGGAAGTGGACACGTTTTGTGCATGCCAAGCAGAGCAACTTTCAGCTTGTGCCAACCAGTGTACTCTGCCTGAAACACTTTGAGCACGATTACTTTGCGAACAGAATGGCTTACGACATGGGATTTGCAAAATGGTAGGCCATTTCCAATTTATATTTGTCATGATCACAACAGCGCAAAACAAACTCTGAAAGAGCGCTTTTGATTGGTGGCTTAGCAAACATTCATTGCGTGGGTACGACACAGTGTGCCGAGTGCATTGCAGGTGTGCATGTATTACTACACAGAGGTAGGGTAGGTACACCCCAAAAAGCACAACACAAATAAATACTGATGCCCCTCCACTTGCGAATGGATGTAGGCCTATGCCACGGGTGCAGACAAGAGATAGCTCAGCCTGCAGAAATTTTGTTCCATACAGAAGCGGAGTCAGAAGTTCGACTATAAAAAATAATTTAGAAAATTACCATTCATTCAATCTCTTCGGGTCTCTACGCCACTCCATGTCTGGCTGGTTTGACACAAATTCCACGACATCTACAGCGTCGGGCTCGTTTATGTACAGTCCAACAACCATCAACCCTTGATATTCTTCTTCCATGTAACTTGACTTCGGAAAATCAAAATAAATCAATTTTGTGGAATTATTTTCAGATTTCCTTTTTTACTCATATTAGAGAGATGGTTTGCGAGCTAATTCTCCCTTTTTAAAATTTTCAGCTGCTACTTTACATAAGGCCATTAAGTTTACATGCCAAAAATTGTACATTTCCTTATATCCAGTATACATACTACACAATTGAACATCAAAAAAGAAAAGAGAATATTGCAGTTACCTTTCATATGAGTAGAGAAAAAATAAAACAAGAAATAAAAGACTTGTCTCTATTACATGTTAATTGCAGAAGGGAGAAGCCTTGTTACCTGTGTTGTATATGTGCTATGTAGTGTATATAGACTATATATTTTTCCTTTTCACTCCAGCTCTAGTTATTAGGGGCACTTATTTAAGATTTCCTTTGACCCACTTTCCATGAAAGTACAGGAATGAGATGTACAGTCATTAGTCAATATCTACATAGGTCCAACCAAGAATGACAACTCTTCTCTCATCATTTTATGCAGCTGTGGACTCATCACTTGTAGAAGTCTGCAGTTGCATTTGAAGCCATAAACTGACTTTAGAAATCAGTGCCTCATCATCTTGGAAACGTTTACGTTTCAAAAATGACTTAATGGATGGAAGAGGTAAAAGTCAGATGGTCTGTGAGCATGACCTTGCCAGCCGAGGGTGTGATGTGTGCCTTTTTGGGGGTTAGTGAGTCAAAGTGCTTCCATTGTTTTACCTGAGCCTTAGTTTCTGGATCATAGAGGCATACCCAAGTTTCATCCTACATAATTAGTCTGTCAAAAAATATCTCCTGGTTTTCTTGTTTCGTAGCTAAAAGATCCTTGGAAGAATGGACTTTCTCCTGCTTCTGAAAAAGTGTGAGCAGTCTAAGAACCCATTGAGCAAACAAGTTTTGCAGATGGCCATGAATGATTTTGTTTACTTTTCCAACACTAATCTTGACCTCTTGGGCTAGCTGACGAAATGTTATATGATGATCCACCAAAATGGCAGTCTCTACTTGATAGATGGCAGATTGGGGTCACCCTGGGATAGGAGCTATTTCCACAGATCTCCGAATACACCTGAACTGGTATGCCGAAGTTAAACATCGTATGATGGGGTATCCTCCCCATAAGTTGCTTTCATTTCATTGAAGGTCTGTTTTGGAGTGCGGCCATTCAAGTATAAAAACCTGATAACTGCACGATACTCCACTGGTTCCATTTTCACACTGTACTACACCTTCACTACTGTACCAGAAAATTTGATGTGCATTAAGGACTGAAAATCAACACATGGCCTATAGAGATGTGTATATTTATGTGGAACTTCAGCCTCCTAAAATAAGTGAAAGTGGTCAGTGGAAATCTTTAATAAATGCCCCTCATAAATAGATTTTTTCATGTTTAATGATATGTGAAACCTTATTGGTTACTTCAAATTCTTTGAAAATATTATCTATCTTTTAGTTACATTCTGCATTAAGTTTTACTTAATATTTTCTTCCATAGGTTGGTTCAGTACAAGTAGAGGACCAGACTTTTGCTGAAGCCATGAGTGAGCCAGGCTTGGCTTTTGTTGCTGCCAAGTTTGATGGAATTCTTGGCATGGCCTATGATAGGATTGCTGTTGATGGAGTCACACCTGTTTTCTACAACATGGTGAAGCAGGGTGTTGTGCCTGCTCCAATTTTCAGCTTTTATCTGAACAGGTAAAATTTTCTGGTAATTATTAGTCATTACTCTCAAAAATACATATGAACTGTATCATAATGATTTTACCATCTCTAGATGATTTTGGTTATCATATTTGGCTCTTATGACATTATTTTGTGTGAAACATTGTAGTCATAAATGTTCTGTGTAAGGCCTTTAATAACCTGTTCATATCAAATCCACAGGGATCCATCTGCTGCTGAAGGTGGAGAACTGATTCTAGGTGGCTCAGATCCTTCTTACTATACAGGCGATTTCACATATGTACCTGTTGATCGACAAGGGTATTGGCAGTTTAAGATGGATGGGTAAGTAATCAGTCACAAATGACAAAAGTCCAAAGGTATTATTTTTAAAATTATTATTAACTCTAATCCAATATACTTCACCACTGAATTTATAGTATTACACATGTATGGTTGTGCAATGAAAAGTGAACCCATTTATATTATGATCATTAAGGGAAAATAAACTGCATTTTAAGTTTTGTATATCTCGATATGCATAAGTTTTGGTAACTTTACATATGATATAGGATTTGTGAGGTCTTGCCATGATTTTGTTATGTTTAAAAACCAAATAGTTTCTGAAACAAGCAAATATGTTTAGGTTGAAAAAGAACTGTCTGACACATCATCTGGAAGATTGTTGTCAATATTTCTGTGCTGCATTTTTGTTGTTTTATGTTGATGAATAATGTGTATGTTACCATCTAATTCTACTCAGCATTGAGTTATTTATAATTGTAACGTTATTGATACAATGTATAATTCTGAACTTTGAAAAACAATGAAGACTCCTTTGCATTCATATATTTCTTCATTTTGGTATGAAAGCATTTTTTCTGTTTCTCTTTCTTTTGTTTCTCTCTGTTTGTGTCATTTTATGTGGAGTAAAAAAGAAGAAAAAAACTAAATATATTTTTGTCACTAGACTTCAGATGAATGGAACAACAGTACCATTCTGTGATGGTGGATGTGAGGCAATTGCTGATACTGGTACTTCCCTTATTGCTGCTCCTTCAGAAGAGGCTCGTCTCATCAACAAGAAGGTTAGTTGTGTATTTATGGAATCTGAGGATCATAGATGTTCCCTCATATTTTTTTTTTCATTTTTTTTTCATTTTTTTTTTTATTTATTATTATTTTTTTAATCTAAAGCTGTTTTCATAGTGAAATTAGATGTGATAATGTTTCATATAGTGTCAGAATAGTGAATTTGTTGAAAGCACATGTTAAGAAAGCAGCACTTGCATTTTGAATCTCATTAAATTATTTCTTGTTTTTTAAAAGATTGGTGCTAAGCCAATTATGGGTGGAGAATGGTCAGTGGACTGCAACTTGATTCCTCACCTGCCAACCATCTCATTTGTTCTTGCTGGGAAGCCATTTACTCTGGAAGGAAAGGATTACATTCTCAGGGTTGGTATTTATTCTTGTATATCCTGCTGTTCTTGTTGATTGTGCATGTGTAATTAGATTTTAACTTTAACATATTTTGTCTTTTCTATTGTTTATTTTTTATGTCTATCCATATTGCAGTTGAGAAGACTAAAATTTATTTCTACTTTTAACAGGTTAGTCAGTTTGGACAAACTACATGCCTCTCTGGCTTCATTGGCCTGGATGTTCCTCCACCAATGGGACCCATTTGGATTCTGGGAGACATTTTCATCGGTCGCTTCTACACAGAGTTTGACTTGGGCAACAATCGTGTAGGTTTTGCAGAGAGCAAGTAGAAGAAAAAGGGTTTGAAGTTGATGGGTGAAGTTAGAAAAAATGCCATAGTGGCATATATTGTGGCATTTAAAAAAAAGTTACTTCCGAGTTAGTACAGACCATGAAGGATAAATGAGTTGATAGGAGTACATCACTTTCAATGATAATTGAAGGTTATTAGGGAAAAGGTTTTTTTGGTTTTATTTACGTCATGAAATTCAGAATTTAGAGTAGTGGCAATTCTGGCTGCTTTTTTTTTCATGTGAAGCCCACAGTGTTACTTGTAATTCCTATTTTAACATGCTTGATAGTAGACATGATTCATGAAGATGTGAAGACTTTTTCCAGGAAAAGAAATTGGTTTCTTTTCTAAGTAATGAGTGTGATGAGTGGTTTCTTTGTAACTCTAATTGTTATGCATATATTCTGACTAATTACCACATATAGAAATAAATGTACATCATAAAAACTACTGTGATATGTACTGTATTCAATTTGACTCATAGCCAATTTAATGATAACTTTTTTTTGCCCAGTTATAAGGAAATTTCACTTCTTATTTTTGTTACATTTGTGCAATCCATGTATGATATCAAACTTTCTGTCAGTGACATTAGTGCCTGAACATTACTATTAAAGATAAAAATAAATATATACATGTAGTAACATTTCATTAAACCTGAAGACCTTAGAATATATGGTTAAAGAATGATATACTTGAGGAAAACGTTCATTA